GAATCTTGATCTCTTTTCCATCTGGAATGGGTTTTTCATCTGCTTAATACCAAAGCTTTCTGGTTTGTTTGGTTTAGTTGTTTTGTAATATACAACCTACAGTCATCTTATAAAATAATTTATAGCACTATTTGGCCTCCTTTTTGGAACTTTCTACTTGGGACAAAAATTAAAAATAATCAACCAAAGCAAGCTCAATCCTAGTTTTCCTCTTCAATAAAAATGTTTTTACCCAAAATACTGGCATGAATGTCTGAAGATTGCGCTCTCCTTTCCAATGTCAACAACACAAATGTCTTTTACAATGGTCATGTTACTTTGTGTCGTGGCTACATTGTGTTAAGTGTTTGTTTTTTCTTTTCCGTGTCCAAAAACAGAGAAATATGGTAAAAATGTTCAGTGTGACAAAAATTTAGTGGTATGATTGTATCTAATCTTCCGTAAAGTGGGATACTGGAACAGAGTACAAGAAGACTAATGCTAATTTTAAGATGAAACTTCATGGGTCCATGCAGAATATATAGAAATTGCATTACTAACATATTTTTTGCTCATGAAGTCACATAATAGCGAGGTTTGGATTCAAATATTCAGGACACCTTTCACCATTTTATATCTCTTGCAAATGTTTTATGGATGGAATTATTCTCAGTGCTATAAAAAGAAATACCCATTTCACAAAGTTGGGTTTGTTATCTACTTGAATGTGGGTTAGCTGGTTTTCTTAAACCTCTGTGATCAGCACTGTGCTAAACTGTTTAAAGAAATCAACCCTATTCATGCTTTCACCCTCTTTTCTTAACCAAATTGAGTTGGTGCTGAGAGATTTCACTGCAACAATAAAAGTCTTCTCTTTAGTCTAGTCCTGGGGAAGTGGAAAGTAGAATCAAGAATCTACTTTCATTTAACAATAATATTGCAAAAAAATAATAATAGCAAAGCCACTGTTTTTGTTGGTGGTGCTGGTGGTCCCCATAGCTGGTCTACAAGAAAGTCCCCTGAAGCATACATGAGACATGAGGAGTAAGAGAGACAGGAGGACGGAACAGTTTAGGAGAGTCTTGCTTTGACTAACCCCAAGGTAAGACTGTCAGACCCTCAATCAGTTCCCAACTCAAGAACCAAGAAAATATATGAGCTACAAAATATGAATTACATCTTTCTGGCTCTCAGGAAGTACTACTTCAATTTTTGTTGTATTTTGCTTTAAGAATAGTAGTTCAGTACACACCAAACACATTGCTTGTCATCTTAATTTAGTGCATTAGTAGAAAATACTACTTTTGTGCCACATCAGGTTATGCTGACTAATAAATCTTCTTTTTAAGCTATGTGTCTATATGTGTCCTTTTTCACTGAGAGAAACAGTAAAGTAAATTTACTGGACTGTTACTGATCTCCTAACAACTACACAAACAGCTACATTAGAAACTTTTATTGTCCATGCTGCACAGGGCACAGAGCTGTATTCAAGTCAATCATCTCTCTTGTCAATATTGTTATTATTTATTATTATTTACATACCAGCAGTGTGCTAGTTCTTGTCACACTGTTAACAGTGGCAGTCCTGTTCCACATTTATGAAGCCTTCTGAGTTTCAATTTTACTAAAACTCCTAAGTCACGCAGAGCAGGTAATGACAGACACATCACTAGCTAAATATTTTTAAACTTGGGGTGTGGAAGCCAAGAGAGGATATGAAAAGACACAATTTAATGGAGAAAAAGAGAAGGATACTCTTTCCTTCTGTCTGTATTTTTTTTTTGCCTTTTGGATTTTTTTGTGTATTATTTCCTGCAGGACAGGTCACAGAGTTGGATTTTTCACAACAGGGACAGAATAATATCCATTGCTTTTTATTGTCCTTCACTGTCTCTAGGATAAACTAGCATGGGTAAACTGAGTTTTTTAAATGGGATGTGAAAAGATAGAACAGTATGCCACAATGCCACATTGGACCTCATGCACGTGGCTTCTCTGAAATTGTTACTGAAATTAAACTCTTCTGGGTAGGTAAGGAGATGTGGTTACAGATATACTGAGGGCTGCAAGAAAATCAATGGAAGAGTTTCCTGATTAAACTGTCTTTGAGCCCAGTTTATCTGATTTCTGTGGCAAGTTGTACTACGATCTCTCCTTTTTCATCAAAACATGGTTGAGTATGGTATCATTATTTGACTCATCAAGTTATAGACACTTTTTCAGTATTGTTTGCAGAAATAGAAATTATTAGTAAAGATTTAAATGATGGGATGAAATTCAAAGTGCAGGGACTTTAATTTTTATGACAGAAGGCAGAGAAATCTTTTTATCAGGATTGCTACACAGTCACAAGAAATTATTTGCCTTAACCTCAAAATATTTTGTAGCTAGAAATTTTCAGCCAGACTTCTGTAATTCTATAACTTAATTATGGTTGCCTTCGTAGAATAAGAAACATTTATTAAACGAGCCAGACATTGACCTAGATTCATTTAATGTTAAAATTTACATAGAAATTAGTGATTTGAGATGGTAATCACTCCTCCCTCCTTAATCTATTCTGTTGGGTCAATTAATGTGGTCATCAGAGACAACTTGCCCTTTAAGCCAACTCTGAGAAAGACCAGGGCAAAACCAGGCTGCAGTAAAAGACTTGCTGCAAGGATGCTGGCACTTGGGTCGTTTGTTAGAGCTCCAAAACCTTTCTTAATGTACTGCAGATGTTACTAAGCTTTGAGTCTTTTTACTTATGTTTTCATTTACTATTTAGGTGGACATCATGTTACAGTCTTACCAAGAGAGCTTTTGAATATAAGAATTAATTATATTAATTCATAACAAAGTAATTGAAGAGACTAAAAGGGTCAAAATATCAATTGCAGGCATTCTGTCCTGAAATCAGTAGCTAAACCAACAGGCAGTACACAGTTCATCCACCTTAGCAAACATTTTTTATTTGTGTGCTGAAATTGTCACTGCTGGTTAACCTACCGAGGTTTTTGGCTGGAAGAAAAGAACCGTTACAACTGGATTCTCTAGAGTCAGTCACAAAACAGATGTTCCAGAGAGACTGAAAAATAGTAGCTTCAAGTAGAGGTTTACAAAAGCTTCATTTTCCCTGTCCCCAAGCCTTGCCAGTCAGAGAAGCCTGTGTGCTTACTATGACATCTCTACTTATATTCATATTTTTTTAATTCAGCTCTCAGCCCTTGTAGCTGTCGCCTTTAGGAGGAGTAAGGAACTGAATCCTTGTGTGCAGGAAATGCAAAAAACACTGGGACACAGATTTTACTAAACACTGCTCCTGCTTTCAAGTTAGAAGGAAGTCTGTCTGGATTTCGCCTGTAACTGCATACACAGCTAAGAATCTTATATTGAGCTCAGTGGAACCTTTTCCTTATTTGACATCCCAGGGCAGTGCTGATATTCAAACTACTATCACTGTTTTTTGTGCTGCCAAACAGTCCCCCGAGGTTATGGATACCATGGCCTAAATCATGCTTGTTTGAGAGGAACTAATTCAAACACCGATAACCTGAGCAAACACTGAAGGGAGCATTAGAAAACATCCAGGAAAAAAAAAAAAGCTGCTGAAAGTTTATTGCCCCTAACGCTATTAATAAAATAGGCTACTGGGTTCATTCTTCTGATTATTTTTGTTACAAGGGAGAAGAGTGGATGGAAGGAGAAAGTGACTCTATGATCCAGAGGAATGTCTTAGTGAACACCTCCAAATCATTTGACTATTGGTATCAATGGGGATATCTTTCAGAGAATGACACAAATGTAAGACTTGGGGCCTGCTGCACAGTATCCTTAAGCAAAAAACAAATGAAGACTTAATCTCATATATTGTTTGCCTGTTCAATAAGAAATTCAAAATTAAATCTGTATTAATAAAGAAATTAGCTAAAATCCAAATCTGTGTATGTTATTCATATGAGAGACTGTATATATCATGTACATAGGCTATAAATATATTCTGCAAACTATCCAGCCCTAAATATTCTGCCATATATGAAAGTTAGATCAGTGTTAACTCAATGGTTAAAACTGTGTTAGAAAAGCAAATATCAGTTTTTCTAACAACATTTTTATGCCTTGGGTATGTAAATTCATCCCAGTAATAGAGCTGAAAGAAGTAATAGTACAAGAATGTTTTATGTCAAATCTCAAACCAATAATACAAAAGAGTGTAATTTATCAGATCCAAAGGAAAACACTAAACAGTGCTAAAAGTACTACTATTCATTACATATCTAAAGGCTACTGATCAATAGAGAGCACTATGCTCTTTCATTCAATAGATTCAAGCTTAACTGATTTTCATGGCTTCTTGAATGCTTTTATGACTAACAAGGCATGATCCACATAGTGCTTTGTAACTGATTTGCAAATAATCTAATAAAGTGAGAGTAATAAATCACAAGTATCATTAATAAACCACCATCAAACAAAGCAGCACACTGGAAAAAATGTGGAAAATGCACAGATATTCTTCCAACTACTTTGGGGAGTAAACAGGTTAAACACATAGTATAACTTAAGAGCTGAGAGTTCAGTTCATAGTAAACATATACATCTGAGCTGTTAGAGATTTTCTATTGCAGTTGGCAAACAGTGCCTCTATGTTTCTTCAGGGCAGGTTCACAGGGGAAAAAAGAAGAGAAAAGGAAAAAAAGAGAAGAGCTGAGAGAAAACAAAACTCAAATTGAGTAAACAAATCCTTGGAACGCAAGAATATAATCCAGTTTGGTGATGCTTGCATGCTGTTAAAATAACATTTTATGCCTGTTTACTTTATAATTTTGTACCTCATAAATACCTACAGTAGCTAAAACTGTCAGTGGTGCCACTTCAAAGGGCAGTGCCCCTAGGAACAAGATCTTTGAGGTTTAGTCTAGCCACAGTGTGGTTAAGGTTATGACAATGTTTCTTTAAATCTAAAATCTAGTTGGCATAAATCCATGAAAAGCACACATACCTACAAATGTGAAATTCAGGATTCATTTACTTACCCTTCAGGTGTGGATTTAATGAAAGCTGGGCATTTAACACGGTAACAAGCTTCCACAGACTTCATCGAAAAATCCAGCTCCAAGACACATACAGCAGAAGCAAAGCAGTCATTTTGATTCCATAATCTCTACAAAAAAATCATACAATTAACAAGTATTTACTTGAGGTGGAATCCTAGAAACACAAATTTTTAGCATACCCAAGTTATTGTTGGGGTGAATGCTAGACCTACATAGCACTTTCCTCTATAGAGAAAAGAAAGTCAAATTACTTAGCTTTGGACCATTTTGAATTAAAACCCAAAAGAGTTGTTCCTTCTGCTTTTAGTTCCCAAATTTAGTATAGAAGTGGTAAAATCACAAGGAGAAGTCATCTTCCCAGGAGTTTTTGCCCTGTTCAAATTTTTTGTAAATACCACAGGAAAGCTTTTGCCTACATTATTTTCAATTCAGTATTTTAAGACTTTACTTCTTCAGATAAAAGGATCATTTGAATTCTTGAACGTGAACGTGAATCAGATTCCAGTTAAAATCTTTAGGTGCTTTTCAACCACTTCTCTGGTGATCCTTGAGCAAATAAATGTTTGTGTTAGTGGCTTGAGGCAAAATACATGATTAGAGCCAATACTAAAGCCATCTTTCCTCTCAGCCTCAGCAACAAACTTTGGTTTAATACTAGTAGCCATGGAAAAGTAATAAATAAGGTGGTGGCTAATAGCAGAGTGAATAAGGGTTTTCTCTCTGAAGATCAGACGAGGACTAGACTTTGGTTTGCTACAGCAAAGGGGACAGGTATTACAGATGGTTATTTACAGGCAAAACTCCCAGACTCCAAGGTAAACCATTCCCTTTTCATCTATTCCGGAGAAATACAAGTCCTAAATAAATACTTATAATTTTTCTTTTAAGGCACTGAGGAAAGCTGGTGAGGAAGGACCAAGGAGAAGCTGAGGGTGGTAACCGCTGGCACATCGGAAAGTGCCGCTTCTCTCTGCAGCAGCCTGAAACAGCAACTGACGTCCCCAGCAGCTACCACATCCAATTGTCAACATCTGGGAGTTTTAAATGGATGTTTGTGGAGTTCTCCTTAGAATACCAACACACTGAGACAGCCGTGGGAGAGGGCATTACCCCTCCCAGGAAAATGCTGTGGATAAAACATGGTATTTGGGGCCACGGCAGCAGGTCCCACAGCCATGAACTGGACCTCAGCAGCTCTGCATGCATTTAAGGAAAGCAAAACACTTTTGCCAGATTTATTGCTTCTACATACTATGAATTTTATAAAAAGTAATTATTTGTCAAAAATTAACAATAATTTCTTGTTCTTGAGAAAAAAATTAGAAATCTCATTTATTTAAAAAAAAAATGCCTTAAGAAAATTAGTATTAACAAAACAAACCTGAAGCTTAAAGTCATAAAGTGTGACCATCACACCACTTCTTCAGAATGTGACTTTGTTATTTTTGATCCAGAGGTCACTGCTTGCTTTAAATGTGACTTCACTTTTTGGGTGGAGATGGTTCTGGGGCCAGATACTCAGCTGAACCTCAGATGTGGAAGTGGATCTTTATAAAACTGCTAATATATCTAAAAGCTTTTGACTATAGACTTAGGTTGCCTGCTGACATTTGCCTTGCATGTACATCTCATGTAATCATTTGTTTTAAAATGGTATTCCTCATTAGTTTAGTTATTCACTTAAGCCACAGAATTACTACTTTTTTTAATGCTTATTCTTATATGTGCAAAAGAGTAAAGAGCCCCCAAAAGCTTAGTCTTTGCCTTCTCAGGACAAACACCTTCACAAATGCAATTATGTTTGCTAATATTCATCTCTTTTTTTCTACCCTCTTACACTTGTCCCTTTGCCTCTAACAAAAGCTTAAAACAAATGAGGCCTTTGCC